CTGCTGACGTGAAGAGGCACTTTACCGAACGTAAAGATTAGTGTTATTTCTTACACACTGGGCCGCGAAATTACACTGGACACGCCATCCACGACACCTAAACGTGAGTTAATGAAAACTTGCCTTGCGCAGGGAGGGAGAGAGGAGATAATAATAATAATAATAATAATAATAATAATAATACTAATAATCCTTGCATTTGATATAGCGCTGTTCACGTCGGGAGGACGTCCCAAAGCGCTTCACAGAACACACTGTAAAGTGAATTGACTGTATATTTGTGGGCGAACGCGGCAGCCAATTGCGCACAGCAATGTCCCACAAACAGTCGTAGATTGAAAATGACCAATTTATTATTGTTTTGTTTTGGAGGGATTATTATTAGGCTCTGTGTGGAGTAAGGAAACTTGCCCGAGGTTTGGCCCTCTGCCTGGAATTGAACTCAGGTCTCTCACTTGCAAAGCGAGTGCTCTAACCACTGAGCTACAGGACTCCACAATTGCAGATTGCAGTGTGAATGAAATCTCTACCCGTGAAACGTGTTGGTGTGCGTTGGTTACCAGGAAGACGCCCTGAGTTCTGTGTTCCTTGGACTCTCTGACTCTCAGGGAACCCAGCAACTGCACAAACAACAAGTGAGGCACCAGTGATTGAATCAGGGACAGATATTAACTCATTCGCTGCTGGCCTCTGGGAATCCCCTGTATTGTTGGCCGTCAAACATATTGCAATTGATGCACGTGATAAAAGTAATAATAATAATCCTTGCATTTGAATCAGCGGCTTGTCACGTCTTCAAGACGTCTCAAAGCGCTCACCAGCACATACTGTAAAGAATTGTCACGATCCTTAATCCTCTATCTTGCACGTTATCTGTCAGGGGATTGGAATGCACGGACTTTTGGGTGTCTTTTTGGAATATAGATCAATCACTCAATAAGACGTTCTTAATGATAATAATGCCGAAAAGAATCATTTAAGACAAAAAATCTTTTAAAAATGTCTCACTGACGTGCTAAGGCTCTATATCAAATGCAAGGTTTTTTATTATTATTAAAATAAAGACGACTAATAATAATCCTTGCATTTGATATAGCGCCTTATCACGTCATTGAGACATCTCAAAGCGCTTCACAGATTACGCTGTAAAGTGGATTGACTGTGTATTTTGTGGGCAAAACACGGCAGCCGATCGTGCACAGCAGTACGGCAGCAAACATTTTTTCTATATTAAGAATGATCCTGTATCGTACACCAGTGTGCGGGAGTCGTATTGAGTAGAAGCAAAAGGAGAGACTGAGAAATATTACCTAACACTGTCGCACAGCCTGAGTCCCCAACTAAGAGAATCACTCACCTACACAGTCTGCAAACAAAACCAATTAGAATGACTGGGCTCATAAAAGCTCCGTGAGAAATATAAATTGAAAAAAATAGAAATATAAAAATAGGAAACAGGAAAGTCAGGTAAACAGAAAGGGATTGAAATCATAAAGATATATTTTTATACAGTGACTGTAAAAGAACAATTGGATGATCGGAAAGTTTATTGATGAATAAATAATAACCCAATTGCAAATTAAGTTTCTGTTGAGCTCTCAATTCATAGAAATGGGTCTTCCTGGTGCGGCCACATTGCTAGTATTCTTACAAGGATTTTAATCATTTTACAGTAAATAATAAGTACAATGATAGGACACAAATCCGAGGCAGCCTCATTGCAGAGATAGTTCCGATTAAGTCTTAATTGGATGGAACAGTTTCTACTAAATTTTGCTGCGGGTAAACAAAAAAAGCACCGAGGCAAGAACCGTGCCAAGTTCTGGAGGTTTCTAATTTCTTGCCATTTTAGTTTAAAAATGAAAAGGATAAAAACCCGAGAGAGATGTGGAGGAGGGCTGCTGAGCTGTGCTATCTGTACCAGAGAGAGATAGCGCAGGCTGGCTTAGAAATGTTGAACCGTCCAAAACACTGACAAGGAGAGAAACTGAAACAAAAGAATCCCACAGACAGACTAGAAAATAACAGAATGAGAGAGTTTGCAGAAGAAAGAGAGAGAAAGAGAGAGAGAAGGGGGGAGTGCGTGTGAGAGAGTGTGAGAGAGAGTCTATGGTTTCCACACAGGTCTTTTTTTCGCTTCCTGTGTTGCGTTTTACCCACAAAATATACAGTCAGTTCACTTTGCGGTGTATTCTGAGAAGCGCTTTGAGACGTCTCAACGACGTGATAAGGCGCTGTACCAAATAAAAGAATGATTATTATTATTATTATTATTATTAAGTGTAGAATTACTTCCTATTGGAAACGTGGAGCTTTGTGTCGAAGTAAGGGGGCGGCAGAAAATATATTCTCACTTCATTCTTGTTGCTTTGTGCTGTGGTATCACAACAGTTGCGGGCAGTAAAAATAATAATAATAATCCTTGCATTTGACACAGCGCCACATCACATCTTCGAGACTTCTCGAAGCGCGTCACAGGATACACTGTAAGGTAATTGACTGTATGTTTTGCCTGGATTTTATTCGCTAGCAAAACTGGTGTTAACAGTTTGGAAAGTTCACCTGGCAAAATGGGGCAGAATAAATGAAACTAACTCTTAAACAGGGTCCTAGTCTCCCGCCACATAGTTTAGCTCACACGTAAGGGGAGTGGTGTCCTACTGATAATGTCTCTTACAATCGACGCCAAAACCAACAGTGTAACATTAAGAAGGTCAAAACCTGCCCCGTGTCTAACTTGCGGTGGTTAGAGAGGGGTTGGAGAGGGGGCCGCGGACTTCTATGTAAATGTTTTCGGAGATAAGATTAGGAGATGAAAGAACGATCCTGATTGGCAGAGCAGAGCGCTTGAAAAACACAGTAAACACATGTTTCTTCTCAACCCTTAAACTCAGGGGTTCAAGTGAGATAAATATAAGATGTAAATGTCTCCCCCACCCACCACCACCACCACCACCACCACCACCACCAAAAAGTGGAGTGCGCAGAGGCAACCCAAATCGCTCGATGTTTGATATAAGGCCTTATCGTGTCATTGATGCGTCTCAAAGTGCTTCACGGAATATACTGTATGTGTAGTGGAGTGACTGTGTGTTTCAGCCGGAGAGAATGAGTGCAGACAAGCCTGGACAGACACAATCCGTGCGCGCGCGCGTGTGTGTGTGTGTGCGCGCGAGTGCTTGGGGTCTAAACAGCAAAGGCACTCAAAACGAATCGCCAAAGAATTTGCATGCAATTAATTGCAACGAACACGGATGGAATTAATTGCAACGAACACGGGAGAAGAAAATAAAACTGATTTGGGGGTATTTTCGCGTCCGGAATTATTCCGTGTCTCTCTCTCACGCGCACGCATCATTTAATATCTGCAGCTAGATATTTTCTTATTGATCCTCAGCGAGAAAGGCAGTGAGTTGTCTTGAGTTCATCGTGTGTCTTTCACGATTAACAACCCTGGATTTTTTAATTAAAAACAAAACACGCGCAAAAAAGAGTTCATTTAAAAAACAAACGTTTTTGGAAAAAAATGCTTTTATATGAAAAACACAATATCAAAATATCAACAGGAGCTTTTCTATTTAAAATAGAGTATCTGAAAATACAAAAGGTGTTTTATATCGGATTTGTATAGATTGCATTCAAATCTAAAAGTGTTTTTTTATATATATTAAAGATATAACCTGATGTTAAAATATAAATATTATGTTAACAAATCCTCCATTGGGGGGAACACACGTCTCAATACTTCTGGATAGGAAACAAGAGTTGGCTACACAAATTGCAAACAAGTTCGTGAAAAGGTTTCATTGACATTATTTCCATTGACATTATTAATATTAACGAAACCAAACGACAGGGAAGTCCTTGAAACAAACTTACTCTCCAGTGCTGAGCTCTGGGGGTTAATGGGGCAGAATGGCACAGAGATGGGGGCGACTGAGAGACAATCAGAGACAGAGGGAAACACAGAGAGAGAGAGACACAGAGAGAGAGAAAGAGTCAGAGAGACACAGAGAGAGAGAAAGAGTCAGAGAGAGACAGAGAGAGAGAAAGAGTCAGAGAGAGACAGATAGAAAGAGTCAGAGAGAAACAGATAGAGAGACAGAGAGAGAGAAAGAGTCAGAGAGAGACAGATAGAAAGAGTCAGAGAGAAACAGATAGAGAGACAGAGAGAGAGAAAGAGTCAGAGAGAGACAGATAGAGAGACAGATAGAGAGAGATAGAGTGGAGGTTCCACTGAAATCCCATTGATTTGGATCCCATTTCCTTTTGTTTTTTTTAAAAAAAACTTCGATCTTTGACCACTTTATGAACTCAGTCTCTCTCTCTCCCTCTCCTCCCTCTCTCCCTCCCTCCCTCCCTCCCTCCCCTCCCTCCCTCCCTCCCTCCCTCTCTCCTGTTGTTCCAAGGTTCTCCCTGTCTCTCTCCTCCCCCTTCCCCACCCACACACTGAGAGACACACACAGACACAGGCAACGTTAGATGTCACCATCTCACAACCAACTCTCTCTCTCTCTCTCTTTCTCTTTGACTTTGGGATAAAAGCAGAACTCGAATCCACTCATAACGAATCCATCGGGAAATTTTTTTTTTGGAAGACTTGGATTTCTCCTAACGAATCCATCGTTGGAAAGGACTTGGTTTTGGTTTTGTGTTGGCTTCAGAGAGAGAGAGAGAGGGAGAGAGAGAAGAGAGAAGAGAGGAAGAAAAGAGGAGAGAGAGGAGGGGAAAGTAACTCTCTCTGACTCTGTCTCACTCTCTCACTCTCTCTCTCTCTGAGAGGTTCCTCCATCAACTTGTATCCAGGGGACCATCAAGACATCAGCCTACGATTCCCAGCTGTTGGATCTAGTGGGGGAATCGACTCTCAACCCCTTTTCCCCTCTCCCCCTCTCCCCCCTCCACACCCACACACTCTCCCTCAGCTTTGGATCCCGTCTTACAAGACTCTCCCCCCCACCCCCACCCCCACTCTCCCTCCATCTCTCCCTCCATCTCTCTCTCCCTCCATCCATCCACTCCTCCCTCCATCCATCCCCACTGCCATGTACCAAGGTCTGGCCAACCCGCCTCCCTACCAGGCGCACCCTGACCCAGTTGGGGCTTTCCTGCACACCGCTGGCTCTGCTGTGTACGTGCCCAGCTCGAGGGTGGTGGCCCCAGGTCTCTCCTCAGCCTTCTCCTACCTCCAGAGCGGCTCCTCCCAACAGCACAGCCCGGTCTCCCCTCACCCTTCCTGGGGAGCGGGGGGGAGCGACTCTGCCTGCAGCAGGCACCCCCCAACCTTCCCCCCCACCTCCTCCCAACCCATCTCAAGCCTCTCCCCCCGCGACACAGCCTTCAATAGTCCTCTGACCATCTCATCGGCAGCGGCAGCGGCAGCCGCCAGGGACCAGGTCAGCATCAGTTGGACCCTGAGCGGCTCCTTCCCCAACCACTACCCGCAGTACATGAGCTCAGAGGGGACCTCAGGCTGGACCCCTGCCCCCACCCTGGAGAACCCAGCCTTCAGCCTGATCAGTGCTCGCAGGCATGGAGAAGGTAGGAGATCAGATCAGCAGCCATCCATACATGTTGGTCATAACTATTATTATTATTATTATTATTGTCATACATGGCACTGTGCGTCATTGGCTTTCTTCCGCAAAAATACTCAGTCACGCCGCGGGCCGTGGAGACGTCTCGAAGCACTTGGCGCCCTGTGGCTCGGAGACCGGATGGAAAGTGATATTATTTTTATTATGTGCCGCGCGTAGAAAATCCACCCTCGCATTTGATGTGGAGCCTTGTCGCGGTTTGAAGCGCTTCGCGGGAGACACCGTAAAGCGGAGTGACTGTGTGTGCTCTTGCGGTTGAAAAGGATCAGCCCATTACCCGCGGCAGTGTCCCACAAACAGTCCTGAGTTGAGTGACCAAATTATGGCTGTTATTATTTTGAAGGGAGTATTAGCCCCAGAAAGCGATCCGCCCATCGACTAACAACCGGGTTCCTTGCTCACTACAAGGTAAACAGAGGCGTGTGTGCAACTGACGACCTGTCCTGCACTGAGATGGGGGAATGGGTCGAGTCTATGTTAAAGATGTTCCACATCTCGATGGATTTGGAAGATTGAGGAGATAGCGAGAGGTCATGGGGCTTATTGTGCTCAAACCAACCTTTTTAATCATTTTCCCCCCAAAACTAAAGGATAGATAGCACCGGTTGGTATCCACTGAGAGTCAGTCAGTGTTCCACGTTGGCTGTGATGTATTAATAATAATATTATAATAATAATAGTCATACTTGCATTTGATAGAGCATCTCATCACATCTTCAAAGCGCTTCACAGGTTATACTGTGCAATGAATTGACTGTATTTTGTGGGCGAAACATTGTATTGTATTTCACTCGCAACTTCTGAGACTCAAAGCATTTGATCCATCGCTGCCCTAATGTGCAACTGTTTAAAGTGTTTTACACAAGTGGAAAGAAACCGGGAAAACCGAAGTCATAATCCTACGTACTGACGTATATGTTTCTTTTGAAAGTTAATGCTGCCGTCAATAAAAATGTTATGGTTAATGAATCCGCAAATTATTCAACTCCTGTAGTCAGTCCAGCTGGAAAGATGTAGTTCTGGTTTCCTACATGTCACATTGATACTAATAATAATAATAATCTTTGCATTTGATATAGCCCCTTATTACACCATTGAGACGCGTAAAAGCGCTTCGCAGGATATACTATAAAGTGAATTGACTGGACATTTTGTGGGCGAAACAGGGCGGACGACCACGCACGGCAGCGGATTGAACGAGCGCACTTTAATTTTATATTTTAGATGGCATTGGGATTGCGTGAGACGCCTCCACTTTTATTATCCGCGGCTAAAATTAAGTTTGACAACTTTATTTTTAAAAACAAAAAAGATTGTGCGCGCGCTCGTACGTGTGTGTGTGTGTGTGTGTGTGTGTGCAAGAGCAAAGCCAGACTGTTATTTTTATTTAGTGGGAGGCCGGGTTGAAAGGGGGAGAGTTTTATTCTAAGGACATGACTGCATTTTGGCGCATTTCTTGGGAGATCAACTTATTAAAATTATACAAATTAAATATCTGGAGGCACAGAAGGCCTAATTTTAGAAGCGCTCCTCTTCTGAAACCTCCAGTTGCCATAAACCTTGTGGAAACAAAGCGAGCGAATGTGTTAAAGAGCGTGGAATTGCGTTCCTCATCACAGGGCCAGAGAGAGCTCTAAAAAGGAGGCGGCTCAGAGCTGTCCTCCGCTCCGTCACCGACCGAGTAAGACAGAGACACGGATGACTCTTACCGGTAATAATAATACTAATCCTTACGTTTGATACGGCGCCTTATCACATCTTCGAGACGTCTCAAAGCGCTTCGCAGATTATGCGGTCAAGTGAATCGACTGTATTTACTGCGGGAGAAACATACAGATCCAATGTAATATCGGAAATGTGGGCAGAGGCAAATGTAGACATTTCGCCCACACGATACGCCGTGAATGCGCTGTACAGTATATTCCGTGAAAGGCGCTTTGAGACGTCTCGAAGCTGCGATGAGGCGGGAGCAGTGTCAGTTGCAGGGATTATTATGGACGTGATACAGTGGCTTCTCAAAGCCTTCCTCTCCTGGTTAGTATTTCCTGAATTGCCAGAGTCCTCACACCGCCAATTCAGCGCTCGTTCATACAATTCCTGATCACCAGTGTCACCCATTCACTGACAGAGATTTGGACGATGGCACAAAGCAAAGGTACCCAATTGCAGGAGTTCCCTCAAACTCCAGGTCTCCGGTTACTGTTCGTAAAACGTTCGGACACTGGTTCAGCAATGCCACGTTGGCGGCTCAGGGCGCTCCCCAACACCTGATTCGTTTGACGGGTTCCCTGCGATCGACCGAACGAAAAGCGAACCGCATTTCTCCAGAGTTCGCACAACTGCGCAATTCGAAAGGAATAATGATTTGCGTTTGTAACCTTTGCAATGGAAATAGGGATATTGGATTGATGAATAGCCCCTTAAAATATACATTATATATACACATAGAGAGAGAGAGAGAGAGAGATACGGTTAATGTACTCTTGGTTCATATTGAACTAATCCTAAATAAGATGTAAGCCCTTTTCGAGTTACCGGATGGTTTAATACCCCCCAATGAATGCCCAGAATGTTTCTGTGAGCGTTCATTCTGAATAAGAAAAGGGGGAAAAGCTTTAGATTCAACAGAAACGAGCGATTTGAAGGACAGGGGTCGGTTCAGAAAATATCCCCTTTGTCGATTTCGCGCAGTTTCGATAAAAAAACCATTGACACCATTACTGTTGTGAAAGATGCGGCGAAGGTGTGAATCAGAGAGTCGATGCATCATATTTTTCTCAAGAGATATATATATATATACACACACACACATGTAAATAAAGGGCTTAATTCCTCAATCGAATACCTCTTCGATTGGATGGCAATTATTTCAGGTTATCGCGAATTATGATCCCTTTCAAATTCGTGCAATTGCGCGAATTCTGCGGAAAATTGCTTTTGCTGATGCGTTCAAATCGGATTGTAAAATAGCAACTGCGCAGCGAGAAATAAACCAATGATAAATAGTATAATAATAATAAGAAGAAGAAGAAGAAGAAGAAGAAAGAAGAAGAAGAAGAAAAAAAGAAATAATCGAAATAAGAGACATTTTCCGCTCATGGTTTATTGCTGAGGATTTCTCCAATATCTATAATAAAAGATGACCACAGAAACAGCCTCAGCCTCAGCCTCACCGACTTCGGGTCATTTTGTTGCAGTGGAGTTACTCTCTCGGTACAAAGGGGATTTAAGATGTTATTGTGGGAGACAGTAATTCTTATCATTATTACCATTGTCAAAACGTTAAAACGTGTAGCACTGCACTTGGAGTGAAACGGTACCGTTCGTCAAGTGTCCTTTTCGTGTCACGTTTCACATTTTGGGGGAAAGAAAATGCTTTTAAGTCTTTAAATAATAATTTAATAATAATTGATAACTGTGTATTTCATAAAAGGTAAAGGAAGACGTATTTAATGTCGGGAAATGAAGCCAGTGAGTGATGGAAAATTATATATATATAATTTTCCTTTATATATATTATATATTTATATATATAAATATTTATATATAAGTATATATATTATATACAAAAAATATATATATATATATAATAATTATATACATAATATAATTATATTATATAATATGATTATATTATATATATAATTGGATTTGTAAGATTTTCCCATCGTTAGAAACATGAAAACATATGTGAATAACCTGAGTGAGTCTGTCCCGAAAAGTTCCCGACAAAGCGCTTCAGCTAATAATAATAATAATAATATATTATTGCATTAATATGTTATTAATATGTTAAGAAAGCGACGTGAAGAGAAAAAAAAATGTGCGGAAAGATAAGAGTGAAAGGCCAAAAAAAAAAAAAATGTTTTCTATTTAAACGTTATCATCGAATATATTGCAGCCCGAATTTTAAAAAAAAACTGCAGATAAAATAAAATAAAATAAAATAAATATAATAAAAAATAAAATAATATAAAATAAATAAAATAAAATAGAGACGACAGCTGTGGTTGGGCTGAAGTCAATGATTTCACACACATACACAGAGGAGGTTTGTTAAAGACTGGAATTAAATTGAATGTAATTAAGATTTGGTGCTCAGATAGTCTGGGATTTACACTCCTATTACATGATGGACAGAAGAGTTTTCCTGTCGTTCTTTTTTTAAATAGAATTTATTCCTTTTTATGACAAGAGTTGTTGCAATATGTTGTGGCTAAAGTGTTCAATAGTGGTCCTTAAACTTAAACTTAAACAGCAACAGTTTAATATTAATAATCAAATGCCCTTTTATATATATATATATCTTTAATTTTGTTTAAAGTTGGCGAATGCCAAAAATGCCCCAAATCCACATTTTTTAAAGAGGGAAAAAAAGACATTTTTGTTTAATTTAAAGGGTTGGTGGTGATTTTTTTTCTATATATATTGGGCGGGTGAGAATCTCCCAAATAAAGTCTCTCTCTCTCTCTCTCTCTCTCTGACTGTCTGAGTCTAACAGAATAGTAATGCCGCATTTTCAGGGCTATTCGTTATAAGTTAGATTTGGGGAAGAGAGAGAAAGAGACAGAGAGAGAGATATTCTGTGTTTCCAATACCCAAACACCATCCACAACCACAAATCCATTTGTTTCTAAAAAAAAACCCCTCTCAGGGAACTTCGATATTGTCACAGCTCTTTCTCAAATTAAATTATTATATATATATATATATATAATTAAATTAAAATTAAATGAAGCTGTTTGTGAACTTTTAACTGGTTTCCCTCTGAGTGAAGTTCTTTTGAAATGCGGGAAAAAAAAGTCAAGTCTTTAATTTCAACTGTTTTGAGAGCTGAGACCAATTTCACACCGGTTTGCAATCTATTATTTTTATTTTTTAAAGGAATTCTAGTAAAGAATAGTCCTTTTGAATAAATAGTCCTTTTTATTCCTCTCATCCGAGTTATTGATATAGAATTATTGCAGTATTTCGACTGTATTTAGAACTATAATAAGATTCAGGTCTCTAATTTGTTAACAGGGCAATACTATTGAGATATAGACTATTCATACCCGCACAATAATTAATATAATAATTAATATTCAATAATGATTTTTTTAAACTTACAGCAACGATTTAATATTCTATCGATCGAATGCCCAAATCAGTTTTTTTTTGGGGGGGGAAAGAAAAAAAAAGACAATTTAAAAAAGTTGGCGGTAATTTTACTTTCACTTAAATAATTAGATTTTAAGTAAATTTAAATAATGTCATTTTATGGGTAAATATAAACCATGTGTATTTTAATCAATGTTGATGTTTATTGTCCTCGGTTTTAGTTGTTGACTTGAATTCCGTGGAACATGAATTTTTATATTATTGTTGGATAATTGGAATTGAAGTACAAAGCCATGTTCGAGTAGATCGACGGAATCGGCTCGAGATGCTGAATGACCTATCCTGTTCCTATGTTCCTATCTATAATAATAATAATAATAATCCTTGCATTTGATACAGCGCCTTATCACGTCTTCGAGACGTCTCAAAGGGCTTCACACAACTGTAAAGCGAATTGATTGTACGTTTTGTGCCCGAAACGCGGCAGCCAATTTCACACAGCAGCGTCCCACAAACAGTCGTGGATTGCGTGACCAAATAATTATTCTTATTTTTTTTTGTTTGTTTGAAGGGATACGCGTGTTTTATTTGCTAAGCTTAACAACCTCAGAAACCAGGGCTCAGCACGAATATACACAATTATTTCAATGTTTGTGAAGTCACGATAAAGCATAGTCAATCATTGCTGGTTACCAAGCCACGGAAATAGCCACTCTGATCTGCGGACTGATTTTGCATTCCAACCCTGGGTGGTGTTGTTACCCCATAGGCCCTGATACACACTTTGCTCAAACTACCAACCAACCAACCAACCAACCAACCAAGGTGACTCCGGCAAGGGACAATCCGTGGTTGGTTGTCTACCTGATAAGCAAAGACCTATTAAAGTTACTACTGACGCCAGGGATTTGTAATAATAATATTCCGTGCATTCGATTCAACGCGTTATCACGTCGTTGAAACATCTCAAAGTGCTTAGAAACCTAGAAATGGGAGTTGGCCATTCAGCCCCTCGAGCCTGTAATTCTCTAAGATCATGGCTGATCTGTACCTCAACTCCGCCCCTACCCCCATATTCCTCGATACCCTGACCTAACAATCATCTATCCAGCTCAGTCTTGGATGTAGTGTAAAGTGAATTGACTGTGTATTTTATGGGTGAAACGTGACAGCCAATTACGCACAACAGCATCCTCACAAACAGTAGCGGATTCAGTGACCAAATTCATTATTATTATTTTGGAGGGATTATTACCCCCGGAAAGCGATCCACCAATCGACCTGACAGCCAGGTTCCTACTTACTACCCGGTAAATGTGTGTGTGGAGTAAGGAAAGTTGCCTAAGGTTTCGCCTTCCCTGGGAATCGAACCCGGGGCCTTCTGACTTGCGAGGCGAGAGCTCTAACCAATACCCTGCAGGACTCCACATTATGAAATGCACGTCTTTCAGTACGTCTCCGATTTGTTTTGCAATTATTTTTGCTTTTTCTTCTTCCTGCCCAGAGCTGTTTGACGATGTCCTCGGAGGCCGTGAGTGTGTGAATTGCGGAGCGATGTCCACGCCGCTCTGGCGCAGAGATGGGACAGGACACTATCTGTGCAACGCTTGTGGGCTCTACAACAGAATCAACGGGATTAATCGACCCCTGATTAAACCCCTGAAACGACTGGTAAGTTGTGTGGGAGAGAACCTTGTGATTGCGCATGTGATGGGAGCCTCGAGCAGCCACACAGACAAGTTACCTAAGCAATAATCTCAGAGTGGAGTCTACGCAAATGAATAAGTAGCTCCCACGCTTCCAGTCAGAGGATTCAACTCAGTCCAAGTGGGAGATGTCTTTTGCTAAACACAACATATTCTCTTCCCTCCAAACCCACACCCCCCCCCTCCCCGTCCCCAAACCACCACAAAGATTATTCCTCTATGACACGAAACGGATTGTGAGCAAGAGATGAAAACCCTGGGGAAAACAAAAAAAACTATTTGAGACAATAATATTTGTGCGAACACAACATGGACTATATTAGAATGGCAATGGAATCATTAATGACATTTGCAAATACACGCGCACACCACATATACACCCCCCACATCATATACACCCCACACCACATACACCCCCCCCACATCACATACACCACACACACACACCCCACACACCCTTTCAGCTGCTTAGTGTTTTGGTGCAACGCACAACCTATGCGGTGTATGGTTTGGGACGTGACATGTCAAGCGATGCTAGGATGGTGGAAGGCGAACTGTATGGACTTTGGTCTTCTTTCGTCCAACAATTCTTATGTTCTTACGTTCTCAACTGTGTGCCACGGGGCTATTTTTGAAAAGCGTTGTTGACTTATTGTGTGTCATGCGTCTATTATAAGATATCTTTTTTTAATTGTGGGATTTGAAGTTATTCCCTTTTAGACAATCGGTGTATATTTATACATGATATTTATCTATACACACAGCTAAAGCTTATTATTGAAAACCCATGATAGAATAATTAGGGGAAAGTTTTTTTTTAAAAGCAACTACTCGACAGGACCAGGGAGAATGTTTGTGGCAAGGAAATAAATCGTAGGTCTCGTCTATATAAAAAAATGTTTGTGGGACACTGCTGTGCGCAATTCGCTGCCATGTTTCACTGACAAAATACAGTCAATTCACTTTACTGTATATCCTGTGAAGCGCTTTGAGACGTCTCAATGACGTGATGAGATGCTATATCAAATGCAAGGATTATAATTATAAATGCTCAAACGTTTGAGGTTCCATTGCTTCTCGATAGTAGTCAATTGTAAGGATAGGTTACTGCAACACACCATGGATGGAAGCGGTCACTATTTTAACACACACCGAGAAATCTGTTTGATACGAATAACATTAATAATCCTTCGATTTGTTGTAGCACCTTATCACATGGTCGAGACGTCTCAAAGCGCTTCACAGAATATAAAGTAAAGTGTAGTGAGTGTGTATTTTGTAGGCGAAACGTGGCAGCCAATTGTGCACAGCAGAGTCCCCCACAAACAGTCTTTAATATAAAATAAAAATTCTTAAATTGGTAGTGTTTGAGTGCAGGGCGAGTAAAAAAAACATTGTGAAAAAGGCAGTAGCCAACCACGACTAACCAATTATTTCTGTACTTGAATATTTTTTATGCTTGTAATTATCAGTCAGATTAGCTCAAGTCACTTTATTTTTAAAAAAAACGACAAATGAGGCAAGTGAATGCTGTAGGGCAGCCTGAAGTGGACCCATTACTCATGCTAATGGCGAAATATTTCTAGCTTCACATTGAAATGTATTTCAGGTTTTGCCTTATCAGTTGGCAAAGTGCCACACTCTGATGTACGGGCTGCGAAATGTAATCTGAAGGCAACGAGGGTGGGTGGGAGTGTGGGATGGGTCTTCATTCCTGGCCTGTGTGATGAATGCGATGTAAACATTACCGTATTAACTAGATACACAGTCAATCATCCGCTTTACAGTGCATTCGGTGAAGCGCTTTGAGACGTCTCAACGACGTGATAAGGCGCTACATCACACGCGAGATTGCTATGATCCCTGTGCCACCAGTGGTGCAAAATACACACATACAATCAGCTTAAAAAGATGAGGATCAAGGTATTTTACGGTGCTTTGTGTGTTTCTTTTGTAACTTCCTCACCAGCCTGATTTTCAGGATGTGGATCTGAATGAACAGATCAGCCAGGTAGATAGATCTGTCACAACAACTCCCATTGCTCTGGACAAAGGTGCCAACTTATTCCTTAAATTGACAGCGCAAACTTCAGCGCTGTGTTGAAAGAGGACTTTCTGATGAAGAACCAGATCGGTTCCCCTTTTTTGCCATCACTTGTGGAACCCCAATGGAATCAGTTCCTATAGTCAGAACCTTCAAGGAGAGGAAAGGCAAAAGGCAGAAACTCCGCAGAGAACTTAACAGCAAGCTGTTCATCTGCAAACTATGACCTTGAAGCTCATGGTTCAACCCAAGTCCACGTGATCTGTTGAGAAATAGTGGGGAGTGTGGGAGAAGGGTGAACCAACAAAAAAAAGGGAATAAACAGGAAATTATTTGATAAACACAGCAAAATCTCTCCCTGGAAAAACAAGCTCGACTTTTTGTGAACACTTATAGAGTTTGTGACAGGCATTGAAAAACAATAGCTTCTGTCAAGGTTTGATTGTATTGCTTGTTCCCGTGTCAGGAGTGCACAATATTATCAAATATCATTTCAGTGAGTGAACGCTTTAGGTGGTTTCATGAAATGTTTAAAGAATTAGCATGTGTTCCACTGGCATTGTGTCTTAACTAACATCTAAACCTGCCACTAAGTGCATAAGAATTTGCTGGGCAAAAGAAGGTCCATCTAGTTCGCCTTCCACCATCCCATCTGGCAGTTGCTTGACGTGTTGTATCCCAAACTAGATACCGTTTCCCCAGATATTATTTTCTAGCAGACATCTATCTAATTTGCTCTTGAAACAAATTAACGCACGTTTTATTTTTCCCAGTGGATGCCGTTAGACGAGTGATCCGTGTGTTAACCGTAAAGGTTCCAGTTACATTTTTAGGATATTCCAGGAATGAGGTTCATTGGATTCTGAGATGACACAAAGTTCTTACGAGGACTTTGTGTAAAGCATAAGACTTTGTGCACTACTTCTCGAATAACCATTGATCTACTAAAATCCATGCTGCCGCTCATTATAGAGTTTATATTACTGCTCAACTTCACACCTTCATACGATTTCAATAACCAAATACATTTTACAAATTTGTGAAAGCAAAGTCACCGTTCCCCTGCAGACACTCCCTGTAATGCTGCTCGTATCCTTTTGGTTTGCACATTGATACGCAAGTTTTACAATTATCTAGAAGTAAAAATTCAGTGCAAGACATAATGGGCTTTGCCGGGAGGATTTTGGTCAGTCTGTCACGCACAGAAACCCATCACCGTTGCTTAAGAGTCTCCAAACTTATTATTATTATTATTATTATTATAATCACAAACCAAGCTGAGAATTCCAGGCATCCCGTCTACACATGGAAATCCCAGAGATAGATTGTTGGAATGGAAAGCGCTCTCTCTGCACGCTTACCTAATTCCGGAGAGTATTAGGCGCAGGTTGGCAAGAGCCAAGTCTTGGGTGGGGAAGCCCAGAGTGTGCGTTGGGGGGGGATAACTGTTGGAGTCTAACCAGCTAAACCCACATAGCTGTTCTGCATTGTGTGGTGTTGATAATCTGTGCCAAAAAGCACTGCTGAACACAGCACAAGGATAGATTAACCTCTCTTCGCTAACATCCTGATGATACTTATTGTCTATAACTTGGCGAAAACCAACAACAATTCCCTTTATGTAGAAGCAGGTCAGTTGAGTTCAGGGATCTCTGGACCAGCGCTGGTAAAGATTCGATTGCCTGCCGTAACTCATTAATATTGCAGGAACTCCAGCAATGTTAACCCACCCACCGAGGGACAACACAGATTTCCCTTGTAACCCTGTGTTCCCTCTCTTCCCCCCCTGGTTGCGGCAGACAGTAAAAAGCACGCAATTCAGACAAGTGCAGAATTCATTATTAAAGTCTGTTAAAAGTCTTTAAATATTAAGCAATAGTCAATATTAAAGCATATTGTCTTGGCTGATAGATAGACTAAATGATTTAAGGGTGGGATCAAAGGTCCAGTCTACCAATGTTCGGTCAATATGTTAGGAAACAATTTAAAAGGTTCTTGAGCCAATGCAATATGTGGGGTCAGAAGTCCATTGTGAGTCAAGGAGCCGTGGATAGTATCTGTAACACGGCAGAGATTACTTCAACTCGATCCTTTCTCACTGTAAGTAGTTTCCTGCTTCTAAGAAGCCACTTTATTTTGAAACTAAAGCACAAATTGCAGTGACTGTGTGTTTTGTGGGTGAGACGCGGCAGCCAATTGCACGCGGCAGTGTCCCACAAACAGTCGTGGATTAAGTGACCAATAATATTCTTTTTTGGGGGGAGGGGGAGGGATTATTATCCCTTTTTGTTTTTGACTAACAACCACGAAAACACAGTTGTTAGTCGATTGGCAGATTGCTTTCTGGGGGTAATAATAATCACTCCGCCCCCCCAAAAAGAATTATTGGTCAGTCACTCAATCCATGACTGTTTGTGGGACATTGCCGTGTGCAATTGGCTGCCTCGTTTCGCCTACACAGTCACTACACTTTACCTGTGAATGGATTGGACTCGTCTCAACGACATGGTAAGGAGGTATCTCAAATGCGAGGACCGTTGGTATTATTTTGTTGCAATAAATTGTCTCTTGTCTGCTAGTCTGCTTCCCGGAGGGAAGGACTGTGTTGCTCGAACTGTCACACCAACACCACCACCCTGTGGAGACGCAATGCTGAAGGAGAGCCCGTTTGCAACGCTTGTGGGCTGTACATGAAACTCCACGGGGTGAGTAAAATAGGAATAACTATCACAGTAAAGTGTGTCAGCCTGGGGCAGTGGGAGCACTCTCGCCTTGGAGTCAGAAGGCTGTGGGTTCAAGACCAACATCAGGACTTGGAATCACACAGTCCTAAGATTGACGTTCCAATGCAGTGCTGTGGAGGGGTTCGGTGCAGTATGGAGGGTGTTGCATGTTAAACAGAGGTCTCAACTTGCCTGTTCAGGTGGATGTTAAAGATCCCGCGGCGCTATTCGGAAAGAGAAGGGAGTTTCTCTCTCTCTCTCTCTCCCCCCGGTGTCCTGTCCAACAATCCCCCAAATAAAACTGGTCACTCGACCCACCACCGTTTGTGGAACACTGCTGAGCGCAAACTGGCTGCCGCGTTTCTCCCACAAAACACACAGTCACTCCACTTTACCATACATCCCGTGAAACGCTTTGAGATATCTTGATGACGTGATAAGGCAGGCACTCTATCAAACACAAGGTTATTATTATTATTATAGTTTCCAAATTTTTCCTGCTACGTCTTAATAATGCATCGACTTAAAGCGGTTTGGAAACATTTCATGCCCGTTGTTGAGTTTAGCAACCGAACCTGTGCGCTAATGTTATTGGACAGATCGCTCGCCCTCTAGCCTTGAAAAAAGAGGGGATTCAGACGAGGAAACGCAAACCAAAGAACACGATGAAAGACAAGGTGCCCACAGGTGAGCAGCAAATCTCCTCCCTCAACCCTCACGGTCGACCTTCTCAACATTGCACATGACTAGAAACGTCACAAAGACTGGCGTTAGACGCAGAAGAAATAGGGGAGGAAATAATTTGAGTCGGCACGTAAAACATATTTTGTTTCAACGACCACGTTCAATTGATTCAACTTCCATCAGCACATTACGGTGTTACTGTGGTAGGGAACGTTCCGATCACTTATAGGATATTACAGCACAGAAGGAGGCCATAGTGCTCTTCCAAAGAGTGCCAATCAGTCCCACTCCCCTCTCTTTCCCTTTAATGTTAATTAATATTAATATTACTTGCTCAATTATAAGAACATAAGAATTTGCTGGGCAAAAGAAGACCAAGGTCCACTTAGTTCACCTTCCACCAACCTGGCAGTCCCTTGACATTGTACACAGTCACCAACTACGGACTTTATCCTGAGATATTATTTTCTAATTATTATATGCAATTCACTCTGCTTTTTGTTGTTGCTGGCGTTGACCTGAACCGCACAAATTTGAACTTACTTGATTTCTGTTCTCCTTTCCTGCAGCGGCTTCCAGCTTGCCCTCTACCCGCAGCGTCACTCCCACTACACTAGAACTCGTCACAGTAAAGACAGAGCCAGGTCTCTATTCCTCTCCGTGTCGAGTCCAGAGGGTGACCTCGCAGGTAACAACTGCGTGAATGAAAAGAGAGTAACGGGTTGGAAAGGTCAACTTTACTCCCCGCATGGGAGTTTCTCTCTCTCTCTCTCTCTCTCTCTGTGTCCTGGCCAACAATCTCCCAAATCAAATTGGTCACTCATTTCATGGGTGTTTGTGGGACACTGCTGTGCGCAAATTGTCTGCCACGTTCACCTGCAAAAGGGAGAGGGGATAGCGAGGCTCATGTGAAATATTAACATCAGCAAGGACTGGTTGGGCCGAATGGCCTGTTCCATTCAGTGCCGAGCAATGTCATTCTACGGAATTATTTTATAAATTGATACCACAGAGAGAGATGTTGTCCATCCAGGCCATTGGGATTTAATGTAGTAATAATAATCATAATCTTTGCATCTGATATCGCGCCTTATCACGTCATCGAGACGTCTGAAAGCTCTTCACAGAATGTACATTGACTGTGCATTTTGCGGAGCAGCCAATTGCGCACGGGTGGGGGTGGGGGTGGGTGGGGGGAAGGTCCCACAAACAGTCGTGGATTGAGTGACCGAACCATAAGCCACCCATTCACTATTGTGTAGGATTGTCAATCCAGAAATAAATGAGTGTAACCTTCTGATCTGAGAGTGGAATGTTTAAATGCCCAGCTTTGACAGCTCAGCACATTCAATACCCTTAATCCATTGCCAAGTTTCACCTTACAGACAGCGGCACATTTTGTACATCTCATTCTTTTACTGTAATACTATATTTTTCTCTCAAGTGTTCGTACAGCAGCGCGTTGATCAAACGAGAGGTTCTTTTCTGCGTTAGAAAGACATGCAGATGGGTGGGAATCCTCAACCCAAGATCCAAGAAATATAACTCCCAACATTTGCAGCCCAAATTGTTCTGGGTTTAGCAGGATCCAGCATTATTCCAAAATTGTTTCCGGACGGGAATGCTTGTGGCATATTGGTTGGAGCACTCGCCTCGCAAGCGAGAGGATCAATTCCTTACCCCACACGCCTCCGTTTACCTGGCACCAAGTAGGAACTCGGTTGGATCACTTTTCCGGGGGTAATAATCCCTTCAAAAAATGTTTTAAAAAATAATAATTTGGTCACTCGTTCCATGACTGTTTGTGGGACGCTGCTGTGCGCAATTGGCTGCTGCATTCACTTTATAGCATACTCTGTGTGAAGTGCTTTGAGACGTCTCGAAGACGTGATGAGGCGCTGTATAGAATGCGAGGATTAGTATTATCACGATTAGTATTGATATTGACTAGATTAGCACTGTCTTACGTTCAGTTCTGTTTGATGGTCCTGTCCTTCTTTCCAGGACACATTAGCAGCAGGTGGGCACAGCCTTTGCTATAGCGTTCCAGACCTGAAGCTGACAAACTCAATTGAGCCAGGCACAAGCAGAGATTACAAGGGAGGCAAACCCTATCCTTGGAACAGCCTGGAAATGGTTTGACAATGGAAGAAAGGCAATCGAGAGCCAATCCCAATAAAATCGTGGACGGACGGAGTTATCAAACTCGAGACGTACTTTTTGTGTTCAACGGAAACTGGAAACGGCGAAACGGACCATCAAGAGAAAAAAGATGCCGAAGAAAGAGAGCGAGAGAAAGAAACAGAGATGGATTGTCGGATCATATCAAAGCGTTTGTAATTTTAAAAAAAAAGAAAGGGACCGAGTGTTGCAAAAATGACATCTTATCTTCGCCAAGGCTTAACAGCGACTAAATTCTACGTGGGTGACCTTGGTCCGATTTTGATCCTGCGTTATTAGTAATTAAGTGCCTTTTTTGGGTCTCCACCACTCGGTGTAATTAATGTCTCTAAACTTTCCAATCAGAAAACCGATAGCTGGAGTGTTCCCCCTGGACTGTTCCTGTTATGGAGACGTGTTGGGGCTTTTCAGACCTGCCGTTGGGTTAAAAATACGACCAGCGTTTCATGGAGAAGTTATGTTTCCTTAGTGTAAATAGTTCTAGAGAAACCATGCAGATGCCTGGTTCAGGCTAATAATAAAGAGCAACATCATAAACACAGATTGTCCCTGGGCTATTTGTGTCATGACTGCAGTGTGTGTGTGTGTGTGTGTATGTATGTATGTCGCTGGATATCTTTGCGCATGAACTGACAGTCACTGAATATCTATACAGTTAAAAACCTGTCCTTCACTCTGTCGCATGTCACTTATGTCAGGAAAATACATCACAAACTAAGTAGCATTATAGTCAGAAACCGTTAACATGGTAGTTGGGTGAGGGTCGCTGTTCAGCTGTTTTTACTGAGTAAGAGAGTTGGAATGACTTAATTTGGGGAGTTTGACTTTATTTCCATGGGTTTTTACGATGTTATCTGAAACATTCAGAGAGATTACTGGATTTAACCACTCACTTAACCATTAACCCTCTTTTTCCTTTGCTTAATACCAAATCCTTGAGAATTTTACTCTTTGCTGACCCCAGCTCAGAAGCCAGCTGTGGGAGCAATGATAGGCCCCATCTGCACTCCGCCTCCACAGGCAGGAAGTCAGTGAAGGACTAAGCAGTTTGCAGTTACGCCTCTCCTCCCACCTATACCTCAGTGCTATTTCCTAAGGCTTCCGTATAACAACTCACTGACCAGACCAGACCCATGTATCCACCTCACTCACAACACCAGTTTGGAGTCCTGTAGCTCAGTGGTTAGAGCATTCGCCTCGCGAGCGGGAGGACCTGGGTTTGATACCCAGGCAGGGCGAAATGTTGGCCAAGTTTCCTTACTCCACGCACACGCACACCTCTAGTAGTAAGTAGGAACTTGGTCGTTAGTTGATTGGCGGACGCTTTTCCGGGGGTAATAATCCCTTAAATAAAAAATAATAATAATTTGGTGACTCAATCCACCCCTGTATGTGGAGGACGCTGCTGTGCACAATTGGCTGCCGCGTTCGCCCACAAATATACAGTCAATTCATGTCACAGTATATTCTCTGAAGGGCTTTGAGACGTCTCGAAGGCAATATCACTATATGAATGCGGAGATGATTATTATTAGTATTATTATTATCACCCATACACAGGTGGTTGGTGGGCAGATGTAAGGGCGTCACATTCAACTTGATTAAACCGTGTCACCACACCTTACGATAAAATCCTGCAAAGCGTTTAAGAGACATTTTGATGACGCGAGATGATACGGCACTAGACCAAACACAGCGATAATAATTAGTATTATTATGAGGCGATGGCAGACACTCCTCTTCTGGTGTCCCACCCGGTGACGTGAAAATCCTGGAGCAACGACGGCAAATCCCATTCGCATGGCGCCTTTCACGTCAGGAGGATGTCTCACACGGCGCTGGACAGTCAGGGAACATCAGCGTTTGCATTTGCACACAGGGTGAGCACCAATCCCAGCACTTCACACAGGGCTTCACCTGAGCTCTGTCACGTCCGGTTGTATCAGTCTCACTGCTGATGTAAACCTTAATAAACATCACGCGATCAATTATTGCTCCTTAATCAACACCAACAACAACTTGCATTTATAAAGTGTCCTTCACGCGGGGTAGTGTCCTGGAGGGTGTGATCAGTAGCACTTTCTCCTTCCCCTTGTTCCATATGCAATCGAAAATTCACCCTAAACCTGACCATGATGGACATTGGGTGGATGGTTCCCTTTTATCTCCGGGACATGGAATTCGGAGGCGACATCGACACAGCCCGTGGGATTCCCCTCAATGCCCGTTTACCACACGGGGGGGACTTCATCGTGAATGTCCAAACCTGGACAAACGGCCACGACGAGAGAGGCCACTCGCTGGTGACTTGCCGAACCGTGGCGGAGGCCAGAGGATCGGACTCCAGTCTAACCCGAGAGCATTGTGGTGAGAACCTACTGACCTGAGACAGGATCGTCATGTGTGAGGTACAAGCAATCCGGGACATTACCCTGTGTGAAGGCCGCTATTTAAATACAAGTTGTTGTTGTCACTCGGCTGCTCTGACTGATTGGCTGTTCAACACCAAGTCTGAATGAGCTCTGACTTTCTTGAACAGAGTGTAGACAAGTACCTAAATGACACTAAATTTTATGTCACAACAACAACTTATATTTATACAGCGTCTGTCTTAGCAGTGGCGGAGCCGGGGAAGTAGGGTTTTGTGCACTAATGTTTTGTACATGATTTCAACTCTTCCCACCACCCCCTCCACCCCCTCCCTTCCTCCCTCTCCCAGAAGCCATGAGGATGTCTTGGTGTGGGAAGTGCAACTGTTCACATGAGTTCATATCAGTTTATCCTCTGACAAAGACAAGAAGGCAATTGCCTCACTAGGGTGGAGGATATTGGTCTACAGTGAAGCCACAGACTAAAATGGCAGCACAGTTGCCACTATTCGCATGCCTGTAAACTGTGTCCTCAGGTAGTAAAGGGAGTAAATGCACGGAGTAAATATTAATAATAATCCTTAATAATCCTTTGCATTTGACACAGTGCCTCATCACATCTTCAAGACGTCTCAAAGCACTTCACAGGATACACTGTAAAGTGAATTGACTGTTTATGTTTTGGGTGAAACACGGCAGCCAATTGCGCACAGCAGCGTCCCCATAAAAGGTTGCGGATCGAGTGACCGAATCATTATTTTTTTTTTAAAAAACAACTTATGTTCAAGTTTGTATCGCGAAGGCACCACAAAGATCACAGTTACATCAGTGGCAGATTAGAACAATAAACGGTGTTGACATCCCAGAGAAAGTCCTGTGTGCGCGCACGTGTGGGTCTGTATGTGTCCCTGTGTGCGTGTGCATCTGTGCGTCTGTGTGTGTGCGTCTCTGTGTGTGTGTGTGTGTGTGTCTGTGTGTGTGGGGACGGAGACTGGCCTAATGAACCCTGATGCTCAGCACAAGCGAAAACAATTAGGAGCTTCCTGTGCTCCTGGTCAGTGGAAGTTTACCACATCCTCGAATAGGATCTGTACGCAATTCCGATTGACTATTCACATGTAAGATGTCCGCTGAAGGAATCTCAGACTGCAGGAAAATCGCTGGCCAACACGTTTTTAAACAATCGGTTATCAGCGAAGACATTTCCATGTATTTATCCACAGTCACTCAACCTCAATGCATTGTGTGTTATCAGGAGACTGCACAAACAAGTGATAAAGATGGTACCTCCTGTCAGTATTGGCGTCTCCCAAACTGGGTTGGAAAAATCCTAGACTGATCGTTTTGTCTTGAATTACAAAATTGATAAGTTTGCCTTTGCCTGACCCCCCCCCCCCCCCCCCACCTTAACTCGCAGTTTAAAATTCTCAGGGAATTAATTTCTTCTTTTACCAATTCAATGAATTCCCTACCGGATGGATTTATTCAAACTATTTGGGAGGTAAAAGGCAAAGGGGTCCTTTTTTGTGCTGTGTTCAACATATCACATTGTGTGGGCTATTTCCAGGGGGCGGAAGGAGTGGGAGATGCATTACATCAGCATTCTTCTTTGTTTTAATAATAATAATAATCCTTGTATTTGATGTAGCGCCTCATCATGTCGTTGAGACGTCTCAAAGCGCCTTCGCAGAATATACTGTAAAGTGTAGTGACCGTGTGTTATGTGGGCGAGAAATTTAATCTCGTCGAATTGGATCAGATTAAAGCTAAGTATTCTCTTCAAATCCTCGGTTAGTTTACGTGGAGAGTGCAGCAGCAACAACAACAACGACGACAAGAATTTATATAGCACCCTTCACACGGGGGTAGAGTCCCGGAGAGCTTGACAGTGGCGGGGTCTGACCCCGAGCCGGGGGCAGAGGAGGAGGTGACCATAAGCACAATCAAAAAGGAGGGTTTGATGGAACCCATATCATTGGGAGGCTTCAAGTCCCCCAAAAATTAGAACCTATTCCCCCTTACCCCCCACTCCCCTCCATCTCCCTGGCCTCCCCCCACCCTCGCAGATCTATTTGTCCATGTACCGGTGATCAGAACTGGCTTACAAACCCATTTCCAAACTAACATACTTTGCAGGAGAGGCCTGTAAGTCAGTCATTCACATGCCCGACAGTCTTACTGCGGAGCTGACCACACATGTTGAACAGCTTCCAATCCACGGTGACATATTATGACATAGGGCTAAACCCCCACCGCATCACAGGGTGGTTAATTTGCCTGTCACTATCGTGTTTGAGAAACAGATCAAGTCTGTGACTTTCTGTAAAAACATTCTGTCTCTGCTCTCCGAGGGCTGATAAGCCCAAATGACAGAGTGTCTGTACTGCGTCTGATGATAAAAGTGTCTGTATTACTTCATGTATCACAGTGGAAACATTGCCCCAATTCAGGCTAAGGTAAGCAATGGCTTGCATTAACTCATGGCATACTGGTTCCCTCTACATAAAGACTTTCTTCCGTGTGAGAGATATACAGGCAGAAATTTCACCTAAGAACATCAACTTTGCTGGCGAAAGAAACCAAGGTCCGTCTAGTTCACCTTCCATCATCCCGGCAGTCGCTTGACGTGTCATTTCCAAAGGTGTTGGTACTGGGTCTAGAGTAACTCTATTTGCAGAACATTTTAGACCGTCCAGACATTTGGCAAATTTGGCAAATTCTGTCTCAACCTTCAAGTCGTTTTTTTTTCTTCTGTCGTTCCTAAAACACTGTCGTTAAAAACAAATTCTGGCCGTTTTAAGAATCTGCCAAATTCTGGAAGCTCTAAAAGTGCTGCGAGGCTGGAACAAATCCAGACCCAGGTGGAATTTCTCCGCCATTTGTGTTACACATCGCAATCAGAGAAAACATCAGCAAAACATGTTTAGAAAAAGGCCTAAATTTCACCCACAAAAAATACATAGTCAATTCACGTTACATTGTTGTATTCTGTGAAGCGCTTTGAGTTGTCTCAAAGACGTGATAAGGCGCTGTGTCAAATGCAAGGATTATTATTATAAATCCTGGCTGATGGTGAGCTTCAGATGAGATGAACCATTAAACATGGTGGTCCCCAATTCCCCTTGGCCCCAACGCCTCTCGATTCCAACCCCCAGCTCGGGTGCAAACTCTT